GGAGCAGAGCACCAAGCCCATCTCCTTGACTCAGCCGATCCAGCTCGCCTTCCCCCCTCCCAAATAACCAAGCAGATCCACTCCTCCTCCTCCGCTGGACCGCATTTGGGCGCAGAGCCAAGGCATCCGGCCGATCTGTCCTGCGGCTGCGGGTGAGGAACCCTCTGTTTCTTTGAATTAGAGTTGATCTTGCTCGCCTCAAACATGCGACCCCCGCTGGTTTCTTCGCAGAGCTCTGATCTTCCATCTTGTTGGGAATTGGCAAGCATGGCAGGAAGTAGGCTGGTGGGGGAGTGAGAAGGGGAAGCGGAGAAACAAGGTTTGCTCCATGTCTTCTCTTCTCTTCCAGATTCTTTGTTTCCAGATGATCTCTTCGAGATTTGCCAACTGTTTCTTCTAAGCATTGAGATCTCAGAGCTCGCTCATCCCACAGCACTCAGCTTTACAGTAGTACTAGTACGTTGAACAGTAAAACAGAGATCCCCTGGCATTTGCTGGTCGTGGTTATATAATGTAGATACGATCTGTCGAGGCTAGGCACATCTTTCAACCAAAGCAACTCTTTGAGACAGTCAACTTACACTTGTACAAAATCTGCTCTCCCAAATATTCTGTTCTCCCAAATACAGTAAGTTAAACAGTCAAATATTCTGCTCTCCCAAATGGCCAAATTGCAAGCAACATTTTCCCCGCCGAACAGGCTCGTCTTCGCTTGGTGAACTACTGAACAAAATCTTGCAGGAAATTCAGGACCGTAATAATTTGCGAGTCTACCGTGAAATTCAGCAAATGAATCGACACAGCAAACATGTATGAATCAACGCAGATGCTAGATTTTGCGACCAGTTTATTTAATTTGCGCACTGAAATATATGGGATGCTCATGACTGCCTGCATGACAGTAATGTTAGTACATTTGCCGTCAATAGTGCTTTCCTCGGTCATCACTGCTTTACATTTTACCACTTGTGTTAAGTGAAGAGAGTTCATGGCTGGTGCTCTAGATTGGAGAGTCTGTCAAGGCAAAGATAACAGTTAGTAGTATCTCAATTGTTAAAGAGGGATAAGTTGGCAATCTAGCAGTCAACTTATGGTAGTGTTGACTCGCAGATTACTATATTCATGGAATGTGTCAAAAAAATGTTACGAACTTCTTCAATGTCATCTGCGTATGGTTTTCATTTTTTTCGATAAACCATCATGGTCTGGTTTTGACTTACAGATTCAATATAATTTTGTGGTATATGGAAGAACAACACATCAATGCAACGAAACTTCATAACCATCAGCATACTTTTTTTCCTTACTGTTTTGACATGGTTTCTCTGGTGATCTATGTGCACAGTTTGATCCAGTGAAGTTGAGGAACTTGGGCCAGCATTTAAAAGATTGGCTCTGTAACTTCTGGTAGTTCCTCTGGTATGAAGTTTGCTATTTTCATACTTGCTTTTATTTGCATCTTTTTAGTTTTTTTCTTAGATGGAAACCTTGCAGATAGTCAACAAAGGCACATTCCAGTATGGTTTGGTTTTCATTTTTATTGGGCCAGCATTTCATCTGCCTATGTTTTCATTTTTATTGATAAACCACCATGGTCTGGTTTTGACTTGCAGATTCAATACAATGTTGTGGTATATAGAAGAATAACGTATCAACTATCAACGCAACGCAAATACATAACCATTAGCGTACCTTTTTCCTTACTATTTTGACATGGTTTCTCTGGCCATCTATTTCCACAGTTTGATCCAGTTAAGCTGAGGAAACTTGGGCCAGCGTTTTAAGAAGATTGGCTCTGTAACTACTGGTAGTTCCTCTAGTATGAAGTTTTCTATTTTCATACCCTTCTACGTTTTAACCATCTTTTTAGATACTTTTTAGATTGAAACCTTGCAGAATAGTTAACACAGCCACATTCCAGTATGGTACCATAATCTTGAATAAAAGATTTAGCTAGTAGATATTGAGCTGTGCGATGGAAGTGTCTCTTTTCAGTATTTTTATACTCAACAATTCCATTCGGATTTCTGCTGCTGCTTGGTCTAACATTGTAGCTTCATTTTTACATGACCAGACTACTTTCTGTTTGCAATATCCAGCCACACTATTCTGTATATCTTCAGTTGTAAAAATCAAGGGTCTGTTCTGTGTCATCTTAAGAGTTTACTGAAGCTAGATTATTCCAGAGCTCGAATTTTAGGTTTTTTTCCACGGTTAAGACGAATTATGCAAAGCTATGCTTATTTTAAAGTACCTTCAGTCAGTGGCGGAGCTAGCGAGGAAAAGCTGAGGGGGCAAATGATGAAATATAATTTTCTGGAGGGGCCAAAAACTGTATTTTTCTGAATTTGTGCTACCCAAAATGGAGTTTCTTCAGAAAAAGTTCATGGGCTGGGGGGGCCATGGCCCCTGCAGCTATAGGCATAGCTCCGCCAGTGCCTTCAGTGTTTTATCTTTTAGCTCATGAACTAGAAATAGAGAATGCTCTTAGTTAGAGAGCCTGTCAAGGTAAAAGTAACAGTGGTCTTGATTCTTAAAAAAGGGAAGCCTTAAATGATTTGTTTTCCTTGCTTCTTTCTGGTTTCTTTTCCCCTTCGGGGTAAACTGTCGAATAGATGGATATAGCTTCAGCTTCTTTTTTTCCTTATTTTTTGTGAAACAAGCCTTAAATGTATCAGCATTGCCAGCTTCAGCTTCTTTTTATTCCTGAACCACTGTTCATTAATCATTGCTCACACATTTTTACTATTTTAGGCCACACAATGACTATAATAGATTTCATAGAGCTGAGTGATGATAATATTATTGACTTGAGCAGCGATGAGGAGACTGTTCAAGAGAATCAAATTGCAACTCAAGATCGGGCAAGGATGCTTGATAAGCGGGGTATGTTTGTCCTAGCTGGTGAAGGTAACCAAGATGCGCAGGCTGTGTTTGTTGCAGCCACTAAAGGAACGCAAGAGGCTGCTGAGTCCGGGCAGGCTTTGGAAGCCACCACATCGTCCCTGACTACAGAAAAAACACCTTTTGTTGCAGCTAGTGAAAGAAGGCAAGATGTGCTGGCTGTGTTTGTTGCAGCTAGTGAAGGAAGGCAAGATGCTGGTGAGTCCGGAAATGCTTTGGAAGCTACCCCGTTGTCCTTCGTTACGGAAGAAACACCTCTTGATACGGCTACATCACCGAACTGTCATCGCTCTCCAACATCAGCGTCATTCCCTAGTAAATTCATCTCTACCCCTTTGTCATTACAGTTGTGTGTTTATCATGCGAACAATCCATTCAAGCAAGCATTGCAACAAATTCCTATTATTTGAAGTTTAACAGTGGCCTTCCTGAGAAAATGTTAACGTTGACCTGCTGCAGGCCCGACTTTCACCACTCCGAAAACTCGGACTTCTAAAGGTGGCGATGCAGAGGCAGTGAGAGTGAAGAGGAATTATCGTAAGAAGAACTACCATACCGACACTCCAAGGAAAAGTCCTAGGCTTATAAGATAGGCACCAGTCCTGTCGAAGAGCTGGCAGCCGATCAGAAGAGGTCTCGCACGATCGAGCCAGCAGAAGAATCAGCCGCCTCCACCGACAAGGCAGGACCTGCGAAACTCTCTCTATCGACCCCGCAGACTAGCTGTAGTTGACTGAATATGGTACCTGATTCCACATGGATCTGTCTAACTTGTGTTGCTGTAGACCTGTCTAATTTCGGAAGCCAGTTATCTCAGAATTGTTTTTCCGTTGTATTCGTCGAGAATGTAAGCTGTGGATGAACCTGAAGAAGGCATAGCATCTGCTGTTATTTGGGGGCGTAGAGAACTTCTTGCCATGCTGGACCCAATCTGAGATGTAACCGAACAAATAGACTGAGACTGAAATGTACGACAGCATCTGCGTTGTGAAATTTGCGAAAAAAGCGAGATAGGAGGCTGAAGCTATAGTTTAGCTCTGTTCACAGATGAATGTACATTCAGCTGTGAAGTCTATACAGCATCAGAAGTGCTACTTGCTTGGCTTGCTGTGGTTCAAATAAAAGATGATGGTGCGCTCGGATTTATTTGAATCAATATAAAGTTCTTTTAGAACAATCAAGTCCAGGTTGCTCAGAAGAAGAAGAAATCACACCAGATTTGATGTTAACTATGAAGAGAAAAGTGCAGACATGCCATGACCAGCTATATATGGCTAGCCTAGATATGCATGTAACATAAGTGCAAAACACACAAAGATAGCAGGCAACAAGAGTTAGTGAGGGTGCAGAACTTTCTTAAGAAGATTTTATTTTCGTTAACTCTAAGTGGACCGTCTCAAACATTTATTTTGAGACGGAGGGAGTATGTTTTTGTGAGGTCGCCATGAGAGAAGCTGACAATGCAGGAACTGACTCTAATACACTCTTGTGATTGCTTGGTTAACTCCTTTCAACTTCGTGGCTTTGATATTTAGAACACTTCTTCTTCGGTACAACCCCCTAAATACAACAACGGCTGAGATCGCTTCGTACCCCTTCATTAAAAAGAGTAGGATCGTCCGAGCACTTAAAAAGCCGCCGCCCGCGTGACGGGGCTGTACCCGCCCGCGCGACGGGGCTGTACGTCGACTCCCCGTACACGCGGCCATCCGTGTATGCACGACGACGACCAAAGAAAAAAAAAGACGACGCGACCTGTCGAGCGACGTACTCGTGACGACGTGGCGTCGGCTTGATGAAAAAAAAACAAAAAAAAAACACGACGTGACGTGTGGGACGGGCAGTTGCGTGCCGTCTAGGCGTCGGTCAAGGGCGGTTCCCGAGGCGGCCGCCGGCCCGATGCGCCATTAATGTCGGTGCTAAGTCGGGCGTCGTTCACCTACCAGACTGCCTCCCCACCAACCGACGCCCGTCTTTAGAACGCCGCTCCTCTCACGTCTGCCTTCCCCCACTCCACTCGACGCGCCTCCCTCGCCCCGCTCACCCCACCCACCGACGCGCTCCACCTTCGATGAGCTCCCTTCCCGGCGCCCCCCATGGCGTCCGACGGCAGCGGCGGCTCGTGGCCGACGAGCCTGAGCACGCCGGAGACCGACGAGCTCATCCGTCTCGGGATGATGGTGCCGCCGGACTGCCGTCTGCCGCACGTGTTCGACATCACCGCCGACGGGTACACGACGAGGGGGCCCGGCGCGTCGCCGGATGAGCTCCGCCGGCACGAGGGCGGCCGGTGGAACATCGTCGGCCGCGCTAGGTTTTGGAAGGGCAAAGACTACTGGGCCGTCGTCGCGCAGGCTCTTGGGAGTCGCAAACCGGCGGCTCGTCGTCTGGCCCGGGCGGCTCGTCGTCTGGCCCGGGCGGCTCGTCGTTTGCCCCGCGCGGCTCGTCTTCTGCCCCGCGCTGGCCCCGCCGTCCCCCTCCGGCGGCCGCGCCGTCTCCAAGCTCGTCCCGCCGTCCAGTTCCCGCCCTCGCCCGGCCCGCCTCCCCTCCCGTTGTCGAGATCCCACCAGAGTAGTTCACACTGGCGAGGACAGCGACCTCGACGACTGCCCCGGCTACCTCATCGCACTGCGGGCGTCACAGGCAGAAGCGGCAGCCGCGGAGGCAAGAGAGGCCACCGAGCAGCAGGCCGCACTCGACGTCGCGGCGGCTATGGCGCCGGCAGCAGAGGCCGCCGAGCTGCAGGCCGCACTGGATGCGGCGGCGGCCATCGAAGCGGTGCAGCCGCAGGTGGCTCCGGAGGAGGATGACGGCGGAGGCGGCTACTGGGACGGCGGCAGCAAGAGCAGCGACGACGGCGACGGTGACGACGATGGTGACATCGGTGCGGGCGAGATCATCGACCTCTCCGCCTCCGACGACGACGAGTAGATTAGGTTTAGATTAGGTCCTTATGTTTAATTAATTTCGGTTAAGTCCTGTTTAATTAAGTTTTCTATATTCTAATGTAAAATGAACCGTCATAATGTTGAATGAACTATCGTTATGTTGGAATGAAAATTATTATGAAATATAATGAAAAAAAGTGAATCATTTTATAAAATAAAAGTGACCCTAAAGAAATTAAAATTAAATGGTTTACCGGTAAAATAAAAGAATAATAAAAATTATATAAAAGAAAAGATGAAGAGAGGAAGAAAGGAAAAGGACAAAAACGAAATTAGAAAAAGGAATTAGTAATTATTTTAAAAAAATTAGTATGAAATAATATTGATTAATAACAGTGTTTTTGGACCCTCGACGCCAAAAACCGTAGAAAATGCAAACAGACCCAAAATGCGCAGAAAATTGGCATGCATGATTCTCATGTAGACACAATGCGATACAAAAATTTGGGCATGTTTGAAGGTTACAGAAAAAAAAGGTGCTCATTACACACCTTTTTACACCAAAACCACCGGCTTCCACAGCAAGGGCCTGTGCGGTTTGCCGGAATGCACCCAATTTTTGCCAGCGCGTGTGGGGACCCACCCGGTACCGCACGCCAGAGATGAACGAAATCCGACTACGAACGCACGTTGCATCACGTGCGGGCGGTGTTTTTGGGATTTTCGGCCCGTAAAATCATAGAAAATCCAATTTTGGTGTGTGTGTCCTGCATGGTCACTGTGGCCCGTGGAAAAAAATGAGCGAGTTTGGCGGATGCGACGGAGAGACGTACGACCGAGGGTCCCCTCCACCCATACAGAAACCACCGGCTTCAACAGCAAGTGCCTGTGCGTTTTGGCG